AGCCTGCAGCCTGCTTCGGATTCTGTGCCTCCCCCGCTCTCTGCCCCTTCCCTGCTCACACTCTGTCTCTCTCTCTTTCAATAATAAATAAACGTTAAAAAAAAATGTATAAGCATGCAGTCTTGTGAGTTTCTGGGGGGCGGATCTCAACTTTATATGAGAGGGTTGAAGGGTCAGGAAGCCAGACTTCTTTCCAAATAACAAGCCCTTGTGTGTTCGTTTGTTCATTCATTCATTCATTCATTCATTCATCAAACACATATGAAACATCTCCTAAATTCCAAGTACAAAGCCTCAGGGGACCCCCAGCCTTCTGAGGAGACAGGAATATAGAAAGGGTAACTGCATTATAGAACAAAGGTTGGAACCTTCAACCCATTGACCACATCTGGCCCATGGCGATTTGTAAGGGGGAATGAGTGGATTTCACATTTTTTTTAAAAAAGTTGTAAAACACAACAACAAAAAGAAAGAGGGATACTCCACGGAGACCTTATAGCCCACAAAGCCTAGAATATTTACCATCTGATCTTTTATAGGAAGCGTTTGCTGTCTTCCGGGACAGAGTGACAGCACTGTTAATGACCGCTAACCCTTGGTGGCACACATGTCGGGGGCAGGCGTTCGTATCAGCACTATTCGTGTTAACAACTTCAAAACCTGTTCGTTCCTGGGGCGCCTGGGTGGCGCAGTCGGTTGAGCGTCCGACTTCGGCTCAGGTCACGATCTCGCGGTTCGTGGGTTCGAGCCCCGCATTGGGCTCTGTGCTGTTTCGGATTCTGCGTCTCCCTCACACTCTGCCCCTCCCCTGCTCATGCCCTGTCTCTCTCTCTCTCTCTCTCAAAAATAAATAAACATAAAAAACTTTTACAGAACCCATTCATTCTTTGCTGGAGACACGTGTACGCATTTACCAAAGTCGGGAGAGCCATACGGGCTCTCTCACCTGTTACCAACTTCAACCACGAGTCCTTAGTCCTTATTCAAATTGCACTGATTATCTCCAAGGTTTTTTTTTTTTTTTCTTTAATCACATGGTTTCTCTGAATCAAGATCAACACAAGGTCTACATGGGATTCTGCGTTTCGCCTTTTATGCCTCTTTTATTCATTTACACCTTATGTAAATCGTTTAATCCTTGCGATAACCCTAAGAGGCGGGCTGCTTTTACAGTCATCTTCCCCAATTTACAGAGGAGTGAACTGAACCACAGAAAGGTCGGATAATTTGCCCAAGGCCACTAGCAAATGGCAGAGTTGGGATTTGAACCCAAGGGCCAAGCTGCGCAGGGCCTCAGCAGCCTCTAAATGAGGGCTAGGAGAACATGATAAGAAGGCCAGGGGGAGCAAGGAGTGAGTGCTTCTTGGAGGAGGCGTTCTTTGCATTGTGTCCTTAAGGATGAGCGCGAATTGACCGGGAGGGCAGAGAGAACGTCAAAGCTGAGGAACAGCGGGAATAAGGCCATGCGGGTGGCAGCGATGTGGCACAGGAATGACCAGGGGTCAATACCGGGGTTTCGGGTTCGGAGCTATGGAGATGGTAGGGTGGGGCCACAGTCAGAGGACCTTAAGGGCCATGCCTGGGACATGTGCGTCCCCCGGGGGAAGGAGGGGTCTTTCCTGAGTCAGCCACCCCACGGTGTCAGGTGATGATCCAAACAACCCTGTGAGATCAGCCCTCACGGTCTCAATTTGACAGACGGGGAAACTGAGGCCCACAGAGGTTAAGAGACACGGCAAGAAAATTACTCACTCACTTCTTCTGACTCTGGGTCTCACAATCCTCCACAGACCTCTAAGGGACCCTCCTCTTGCCCAATTTCCAGTTCATGTGATTCCCCCAAAGGAACTGAGAGCC